TTCAAATCTGTTGGTCACTCTATACCAGGAACCTGGTGGAGGATTGCTCTAAGTTAGAATCAGCTCATTGGCAATAAGTATGCATTGTTTTATACACCTAAGGAGCTACGGTAACCAAGTGATAAAGAGTTGTGCTGCCAACCCAAAGGCACTTAGTTTGGATACAGCAGACTCTCCTCAGAAAAAAGATGAGCAGCCTCCTTCCATGTGATTTACAGCCTCTGCAAACTGGAGGGTCAGCTCTGAGTTATTTCCAACTAGATGGTACATAACAACAATAACATATGATGTGGGGTATGGGGCATGGGGAGAGAGAGAGAGAGTTCTGGTAGCCTAGTAGGTGAGGAGGGACTTGCACTGTCAACTCAAAGGCAGGTGACTTGAATCATCAGCTACTCCATAAGGAAAAGATGAGCAATCTCTTCCTGTTACAGCCACTGAAAAACCAATAGAAAATTAGCTGTAAGTTGGTTCCAATTTGGCAGCAATTATTGTTGTTTTATACCATCAAGTCAGAACCAACCCATAGCTGACCTTCCAGCAGGTTTTCAGAGGCAGTTATTGCCTGGGAGGAAATTGCACATCCTTCTCGCATGGAGCAGCTGTTACATTTGAACCACTTGTCTTCCAGATTGCAGTGCATCTTTATACCACTAGGCCACATAACATACAGGCATAGTTAACTTTATTATGCTTTACTTTATTGCATTTTGAAGCTCATGCTCTTTTCTTTCGAACAGAAAGTCGTGGCAACCCTGCATCAAATAAGGACCTTTTTCAAATAGTGTGTGCTCACTTCATGTTTCTGTATTACACTTTGGTGATTTTCACAATATTTCAAAATTTTTTGTAATGTCAATGAACACTTCCTAGACTATGATCTAGAGTAAACAACTTTCATATGCACTGGGAAACCAAAACATGTGACTAGCTTACTTAGAATATTTTTTATATTGTACCTGCCTATCACTAAGCTTGCAATGTCTACGAGATTATACTCATATGTAAATGTAATTCAGTAGAAACAAAAGTGATGCCAGCTTTGAAATAATATCTAAATATTTAACCAGTCTTAGAACCATATTTTTCTATTCTGAGAGCAAGATTGTCAGAATCTTAAGAGCGCCAAACCTAATTACCAACTATCTCGAGTTTAAATTAAAGTTATACAAATTATATTGGTTTGGATCTAAAATTAAGATACATATTGACAGATTTAAAAATTTTAAATACTCTTCAATGTCACCATAAGGATGCTGTTTTATCAATTTGATTGCTAATATATTCTCTTAGGAACTTTATTTAATTTTGTAGCATATTTCATTAGTTAGTGTTGTCAACGATAAGTACTAAAAAAAGATTACCAGGAATTTGGACTAATTTAAATGTAAAATGACAAGTGTCACAAAATTATTACCTTGTTTAAAACAAAAGTGAATTAATATACAATTTAATTTCATTCTCATGTGTGTCAAGTGAGTATTTAAATCAAGTTCTTTATTATATAAATATGTTCTATTCATACATGTTATTGCTGTTGTGTGTTGTGGAGTCGGAATCAACTCATAGCAGACCTTCCAGTTAGTTCTCAGAAGCTATGAATTTCAGGGCAAGAGATTTCCTAGTTTTCTCATGTGAAGCAACTGGTGGATTGAAACCACCTGCCTTTGAATTGCCAGCTCAACTCCTTACCACTAAGCCATCAGGGCCAATTTTGATTTCCAGCACATGCCTTAGCAGTACACATATTTTCCTTTTCAAATCAACCTAAATTTGTTCATGATAATAATAATGCATTGTAAAGAAAAGAAACAGCTTTTTTTGTATAAAAATGTTGAGGGAGGAAAATGGAAAATTTAAGTCTATAAAAATTGTTCTAAAAGTGCCTTAATTGTCCCCACGCAATTGCTGAATTTACCCTTTAAATTGAACTGAGACTGGATAGAACACTGTACTGCCGCCATCTACTGGCTCGCAGGCTTCCCTTTCAGAGTCATTCTACCTATGATACAAATGGGTATTTAAAAAAAATCCAGTTTTGCTTCATAAGCCAATATGATAAACGTGAAACACAGTAACTAAAATCATAGAAAAGATAATGTCTTTTTTATTGTTTTTAAAATTAAATTGTCACCAGTAAATTTCAATGTTAATAAATTCCAATTCTCAGTCTTAATGTAAAATACTACACTGCAATCCTAGAGGCACGTGGTTCGCAGCCACCAGCAGCTCTGAGAGAGAATGATGGGCAGTCTCCTCCTGGGTGATTGACTGCCTCTGGAAACCCGCCAGAGGGTCAGCTTCTCCGGGTCGGTTACGACTCGACGGCACACAACACCGTCACCCCACACCCAAACCCATCCCACTCTAATGTATATTTGTGTCTAAATCTTAATAAAAAATTATAAACATACTCTTTACACTTCAGTGTACATGTATATAGCCAGTAAGGTCTACAATTAAAATATCATACTTGATTAAGCATCATTTTTGAGAAATACTTCCGAAGGTTCAAGAATATGTGCCAAGGTGTCCTTAGGACAAAGTTTATCATGTAAACTATTTATCTGTCACTTACTGAAATAGTATGATTTGATGGAAAGTCTTAAAGGAGATTTGTATACTTTTATCAGTTTGCTAATAGCCTATCAAGACATTAGAAACTGAAAAGTCAAAGTTAAAAGGAGAAATTTGTTCCAAAAGGAACATTTGACTTTGAGCATGTGTGTTCTGTATTAAAAAACTAGAAGTTCCTGGAGATTTAAGTATTGTTGAAATTCACAGGAAAAGTGAAGATTATGGAAAGTTTTGTACTCATGTTGGAATTGTAGTGCACATAAATTTTTGCTACCACTTACATTCTTCAATGCAAACGCTGTAATTCATTGACTCCAAGATTTTATGTGATAGTAAAAAAAAATAGTCTGTAAGATTACATTTTAATTTATTGTGAAAATTGATTGATGTGTTGATTACAGATAAAATCTGTTAACTATTAAATCACAGATTATTTGCAGTCATATACCAATTCCTTACAAGTTATCTATTTCAAGTTTTAGATAGTTTTCTGAGAGTTCTTATGCTGCTCAACTAACCCTATTCTTGCCTGTACTCTGTGTTAATAATTTTTTTATATTACTTTTCAATAGTTAACTGATTTTTTTCTATTTCACAAGTTTTAAGAAGAAAAAACCCTTCTAATTCTTTACCACAAAAAGTAGACTTTTATATATAAAAAATAATACTAAAAAACCAGAATATGACAGTTTTCTCCTCATTTGCTAATGTTTTCTCTTTGTTTTTGTTCTCTTTCTTCATTACTGATGATACTACTTCAGGCTCAGGTAAGAACTCTTAAGCCCCAATGTTTAAGAGATTTTTATCTGTTTACTTGTTTTCCTTTTCGCTCCTTATAGAGAATACATTTTTCCCATTATTGTCTTCTTTTAGAGGAAGAAAAGTAGCACATTTTCCACATTTTTAAAAAAGTGTTCTGTATCTCTGATCTGGCATAGTCACCTGTGTTTTTCAGTTTGAGATTCAAGGATAAGGTGAAGGGTTTGGAGAGAACAGACTTCATTTCATCAGTCTTGACAAGACAAAGACACTTTTCATGAATGCTCTTATGTTTTTAAGAGGGACAAATATAAAAGGTGAAGAAGGGCTGAGAAATGGGCAGATAGAGATTGCCTTGAACAAGTTTGTATTCACACAATGGTGAAAGATAAAGTTAAATCCATCACAATATTAAAAACAGTTGCATTTTCTTTTCTATTATTTGCTCCCTACAAGCTGTAGGTTACTGGTCTGCCCTGAGGTAATTCGTCTTATTTTAATAGACCACACAAAAGTGAGTGTGGTCATGATGGCAGTAATTGTAGAATCTTGCTCTAATAGTGCATATTTTTCACTCCTACCTGGAATAGGTCTGCTTTGTTCACATTACTTGAATATTTAGTCCCCTAAAATTTGAGTGAAAGAATGGCTCAAAAGACTGCTTAAATTTCTATTTTCTGGAATTAGTTTGATAAAATATTTGTGTGTGTGTGTGTGTGTGTGTGTGTGTGTGTAAAATAGGAAATAGATTTTTATAAAAATATTGTTAAAGCCATTCTCTTTAATGTTTAATTATTCTATTTCAGTGGGTTGTGGACCATTTATTTCCTTTATTCTAATAATTCTTCCTAGTGAGAAATGAGTAAAATTCGTTGAATGTTTTTAAATATCTTAAAACCAGATATTTTACTCCGTATGTGGAGCTGAGAGTGTTTGTGAAAACCAAAGAACAATCCAAAGTCAAAGTGCACTTGGTTTCATGTGGTCCAGGACGCTTCTGGGCTGTGACTGGATAACTTGAAGCCTCTTTGAACCACACCTCATCAAGGATTAATTTTCAAGGTGGTTTTATTTTATTTTAATTTAGTTTTATATATGGGATTTTTAAAAGTGAATCCTGTGATTATTATTGGAAAACAGACCAACTTACATTTATATGGAAAACAGCTACTTTTATTTACTCTAATTAATTCATTCATTTATTCAATAAATTCCTACTGAGTGCCTAAGATAATGAACACCCTGAGCTAAATGCTGAAGTCATACAAAACTGAACAGATGGCCCAGGAAATTACAATACAGTGTGGCAAGAGTCAGTACAGGAAAACTGCATGATGTGACTCAGTGGGTCCAATCTAGACCTGCAGCAAAATAGCAGAGCTTCAGTTTCCCTGCCCTTTGCCACTGTCCTGTCAAGGGGTTCTGCTGTTTTCTTCTTTTCGAATAATCAATAATAAGGCAGAGAAATAAAAAGAATAGCTAAGCAGTAATCTAATTATTGCTGTTATGTGTTATTCTTTCCGTGAACTCTCACTGGATTCCCGGATGTGATCCTGGTGTGTTTCAGGTGTATGAGGTTGTCCCATGCCACAGTGACTGCAGCCAATACATATGGGTCACAGAGCCGTGGAGTGTGTGCAAGGTGACTTTCGTAAACACAAAGGAGAACTGCGGAGAGGGCGTGCAAACCCGCAAAGTGAGGTAAGGCCACAGCTTAATTACAAAGAGAAGCAAATGCACAGTAGTTTCCCAACTGGACAAGTGCAATCAGGGGCATACACTCCTCCCTAATCTGCTGAATAAAGTTGGCATGTTTGTGCATTCTTGGAAAAGGCTCAGGTGATCTGTTCAAGCAGCAGTTTCTGATACTTTGGCTGTGAGGTTACTAAGAGGAGGAATTAGCTCTACAGCAAAGGGTTTTGTTTGCCATTTTTGGATTTCTGTTGTTATTTTTATTGATTTGGGAAGCTTTGCTTCCGCAAGGAACAGCAGATTGAACATGTGCTGAACTAAGGCAGACTTTCAAGCCACAATCATTTTTATATATTTCTTATTGCATTTTAGTGGTCATCTCTGGTGGCTTAGTGGTAGGTAGTTGGGCTGCCAACACAAAGGCACACTGTTAGAATCCACTGTTAGAATCTCTGTGGTAGAAAGACGGGCAGTCTTCTCGAGCAATTTACTGCCTCTGAAAACCCATGAGAGGATCAGCAATGGGTCAGTTTTGACTTGATGACACTTGATAACAACAACAGCTCCTATACCATCCAATAGTTTATATTAAACTAGCTAATTTGGGGTTTGAGTGGTAAGGAATTGGGCTGTTAACCCCAGAGGTGGGCAGTTTGAATCCACTAGCACTGCTGAGGGAGAAAGATGGGCAATCTTCTCCTGTGTGATTTACAACTTCTGAAAACCCACTGAAGAGTCAGGGTATGAGTCTGTTCCAATTTAACAGCACACTACAACAACAACAACAATTTATATTTTGTTTCTTTGTTTTTTCTTATCATTTTTGTTTTGTTGATTTCCATTCAGTCCTTCATATACAGTTTGTTTTATAACATTAATTACAATTGTTCAATGCCATTGTTTATGATGTCTTATCAAGTACCTCATGTATCCCCCCCTTTCCCTTCACTCGACCCATCCTTGTGCTAATCTCTGCTTGCTCTCCTTCCCCCAATCCCTGTTGCTCTTCCATCATTGTTCCTATCTGTAAACCTTTCCTTGGTCTTTCTCCCATCATTCAACCAATTGTGTATCTTGTTCCAGATAATTAATTACAATACATGCAATGTCTGATCATTCATTCATATCAAAATAACTAATCTTTAATACACTCCTCCCCCCCAGAAAGCCCTCCCTGGAAATCCAAGCTGCCTAACACTCTCATTGATTATTTTTAGCTGCACTACACAACACATGACTCTTTCCAAAATTTAATTAAAATCAAGAAAATTAAAGGTGAAAATGAAAAAAATAATTTATTTTTTTTTATTTGCAGTGGTCATAATTCAGATGTGCAAATGACACACAAGGCTTGTGGCTTCTTGCCATCATCATAAGTTGCACTTCTGGCTAGTATTTTGCTATAACGTCCTATAAACCTTTCATTGTCTTGAAAAGGTCAATTGACACAAGTGTCATCTGCATTAAACTTTGTTTTTTCTGAGAATGACTAGGAAATTCATATAGATATTCTCTCAGACTAGACATAATTGGCTACTCATTAAATTCACTGTACAGCATCAACCATATGATCATCACAAGGTTTGAAGCCCTGAAAAAGAAGTGCATGAAGTTTAATCATCTCAGTGTTATAGATTAGATTGAGGAATACCAAATGATTTACCAGGGACAAAAAGCTGACATCATGGTCAAGTTGGTGTTCAAGATAAAGTCTCCTGTCAATCTCTGTACTCTTACAACTTCTTCTAGCCTATTCAGTGAACATAGTAAAGACAAATGTAAATATATTCAGAACATGATACATCCTACACTATGAAGAAATTATTTCTTACCAAAATTTATCCTTTCTTTCATGTTTTACTTTTAAAACCATAGCCCGTTTTAATAGAAAAGAAAAATGAATTAACAATTGCGTTATAAAATCTCTGTACATGAAATTATGAGTAGCCTATTTCCAACAAAAATCATTCACTATTTTTTAATAAAAACGAGAAAGGCAGAGCTTCTATTATCTACCATTCTTCTCCAAAATTAATATTTGATTTTAAAAAATTAAAAAATATTGTTATTATTCTAAGAATTTGATCAGGTATTATTATGTTGTAGACTAATATTTTTTAGCTTTCCTTGCAACCATCTGTGTGCATGTTTTGTACATTGGTTTATTTTTTTTTTACATTTCTAAAACAATATTCCTTTCAAATCTATTTCTTTTGTCAGAAAACACCTGTGGTACAAATAGAGAAAAGACAAGGTCACAGTTGGTTGTGATCTCTATCATGCAATAAATGTTTCTATTTGTTCACTGATTAAGTTGTACATCTCCCTAACTTTATTTTCTGCTAATTAAGGTCAAAATATCCAGCTTAGATGCAAGTTTTAGCTGACAGTCAGTACAGATGGGACTATAGGAGAGCAGATTTAAATGTATTGTCTCATTCTTCCTTATTTAGGATGATACAGTATACTAAAGTTGGACTGTGGGAGTGACCTGTGCTGATAGGAAGGAGTTTCTTATAACTGACATTATTTAGAATTGCCAGCATGTGACAGTTGTCTTTAAAAAGAGACAGATGATTAATTGCTGCTTTTGAATTTTCTGCATGAAATATATCTTATATCGTTGTACCAAGGAGCCTTAAAGATGTAGCAGTAGTTGAAGAACTCAGCTGCTAACCCAAAGATCAGATGTTCAAACCCACCAGCTGCTTTCTGGGAGGAAGATATGACAGTCTGCTTCCATAAAGATTAATGACCTTTGAAACTTAATGGGGATAGTTTTACTCTCGTGACCTAATGAAAAGGCATTATACGCCAACCCAAAGACACACGGTTCAAATCTACCAGCTGCGCGGCACGAGAAAGATGGGTAATCTCCTCCCTAGGGATTAAATTGCCTCTGAAAAGCCACTGGAATCCAGATCAGCTATGAGTTGGTTCCGCTTTGAAGATATAAAACAACAACATAGGGTGTCTGGATGTCAGTATCAACGCCACAATAGTGGTTTTGGTTTTAGAACCCTGGTAGTGTAGACCATCAGTGACAATTCACCAGCACTCCCCAAGAGAAAGATAGGAGTCTCCTTTAATAAAAAAATTACAGCATCAGAAACCCAATGGGAAGTCATTGGGAGTCAGAATCAACTCATTAGTAAGTGAAGTGTATAGCTGTGGTGACCTTGTGGACCCATCACTTGGATCCTCACTGTGCATTTCCTGGGAGTTTAATTAAGCCACAGAATACTACTGTCTCCTGTGAGAAGGAGAATGATCAAGAATTTGGGAGGGGGTCGGGGAATAAAGCCTATTAACTTAAAAAATCTTTTCCTCTGGACTTGACACTTGATAAAAAAATAATACAGTACGCTGAAAACGGGGCCTGGGATCCAGTTTGGAAGTTGTTTGTTGGTCTAGTGGATAGAAAGTTATTCTACCAAGCCAAAAGTGGGTGATTTTAATCTGCGGCCCTCAGGCTTGTTTTTAATTGTTTTTGGTCAAATATTTTTCTAAGTGGTATAGCACTGGCCTGTCCATTTGCTGTACAGAGGTAATTCGTGGTTGCTGTGATGCTAAACACAGTAACACTATTGTGTCAAATGTGATAATGGTTACCCATGGCAGACAAGTGTTTGGTGGAGCTTCTCTTTTAGAAGAAGCTTGGAAGCAGGAGTGGCATCCACATCCCAAATGGCTTGCCTCCAGAAACTCTTTGAATGTGGAGAAACAATGAAAGTTATACAAGTGTTCAGATCTTTCATTCATAGGGTCACTATGCACCATCTATTACTCAATGGCACTTAACAACAGCACATGCTGAAAATATCATTAATAAATAAATAAATAAAACCAACATGTTCAATAATAATTGTTTTTATCTAAATTATGACATAATCAAAGATTAGTATCCCAGTATACTCAATAATAATTATATTTTAAAGGACTATTTAATGAAATAAAAAAAGTATTCATATGTGTTGTTGATTTGATATTTTATTGGTATAGTGACCATTTGCTCCTTTTTATGCAATGAACATATATATTTTTATAATATTTAATAATTGGTGATTCTTTCTGAGTGATTAGATTATGCAATTAAAAAATATTTTCATTAGTTTGCATACAGAATGTGTATGTGTTGTGTTTCACAAATTCATTCACATTGTGTTTCATCCAATCATTCCTATACATTGTGTTTTATAAAATGAATCACCACTAAACTATACTCACCATTACCCCATCTTCTCAGGTCCCCACTGAATCTTTCCTAATTCCTCCACCCCCTTCCTCTACCCACTACACTCTACAAGCCTGTGATTTCCCCTCTACCCACCCGCAGCTCTCAGGCTCCACATATCTTACTTGTTATCCTTCTATTTTTACAGTAGTGGTGTCCTGCAGTATTTGTCCTGTGAGACTGAGTTGGTTCACTCAGCATAATACTTTCCAGTCTCTCCCATGTTATTTAGTATTTTTCAAAATCATTGTTCCTGAGTGCTGCATAATAAATAGTCCATCATGTGAATGCACCACAGTTTCCCAATCCATATGTTAGCTAGAGGTTGTAGCCTTCCCCTCACTAGCACTTCAGTGAGCTAGCTCTGCAACTGAATTTCTTACTTGATTGCAGACCTCTCTCTTAAATTCTATTGTCCTTTTTGGTCCACGGGATGGCCATACAATAACTAGAATCCCAACAGGTGGAGTTTTTCTCCCGGGGAGGGGTAGGTCCTGCTTCCCCAGCACCTGAATGTTCTGGCTCTGGGATTGAATCTCTCACCTGATTGCAGCCCAGTCTCCTGAAGTCTATTTAAGATTATGTAAATTTTATGATTGTGTCTGATTTCTTCAAAATGAATATATATACTATCTGTATAATAAAATAAAAGAGGGTGAAAAATATATAAGTTAAGTTCAGTACATTTTTATGTGCATAACTACTTAGTATAGATAGAATTTTGCATCTTTTCTTAATGCTGGATCAATATGTAATTTTAAACGTTAATCATAGTACATTGTGTCAGTATCTAACAAAAATTAATTCTTTCCTTAGCAGTAAATTAAATTTTGAGTTTAATTAAATTACCTATGTTCTCTCTAAGCTTCTGTCAATAATTTTTTATAAATGTTATGGGAAGTAGAACTTTTCAGGAAGAATCTTATATTTCCCAAACAAATTTGTAGTTTATTTTTTTCTTTCAAGATTTAAATCATACACATAATCACTTCTTTATTTTTATGATTTTTTTAAAAAACGGTTCTCAAATATACCCACAAACTACATTTGGTATTTATGTGAATGAGTTCTTTTTTTGCAAGTTGCAAACCCAGTGAAGACATAACCAATGACAATTTTCCAGTATTTTATTCATCCAGTATTTTTCTACAGAAAGAAAAAAAAATGCTTTCTCTTATATTTAGCAGCACTGTATAAAAAGGTAATTCTGTAGGAACTATTTATAAAGATGCAATGTCCCTACTATTTGTAAATCCAAGAGAAAATCTGGGATTCCAGATATAATTGGTGATGTAAATAAGCTGACAGTTTAAAACATTGCAGTGGGTTTGAGAAGCTTAAGAGTTCAATCTTCCCTTTCATCTCTTGCAATGCAATTTTCTTCACAAATCCATTAATTTGGTGGACCTTCTCTGAGTTATAGATGAAGCATGAAATTTTGTTCCTCCACTAAAAAGTGCCTGCAGATATTATTATTAAGTACAGTAAAAATGTAGCTAGGTATTATTCAAATTAATTAGATTCCTAGGAAAAAAAAGAGTCCTTCATAACTGCTTAGAATAGAACAAAATTGAATGCAACCTTTAGTTTTTTTAATAAATAAAACTGATAACATAAAAATCTTCTTATTACAGAAAGAGTCTGTCAAAGAAAAAATGCGCTAGACAGTTAAAATAGGCAAGGATAGAATTTAAAAATATTATTGGTACAGGAGGGCAGAGAGGCCAACTATCCCAATATTAGAATAGAAAGATCAGAGCTATGTCTAATTGAAGTCTTAAGCAGAGGCTGAAAAAAAAGCACCCATGAATTATCATCCTTCTACTTTCTCTGCTATCAAGTGAAAACTCATCAGAGCTGACCTTCTAATGGCCTTTCAGTAGTTATAAATCACATGACAAGAGATTGTCCGTCTTTCTCCTGCAGAGTGGCTGTTGGACTCCCCACCAGAGAGGCACCTCCTTTAGGTTTACAGTAAAGCTCCCTAAGGATTATTCATGGCAAGCCCATGTGTCAGAGTAGAATTGTGCTCCAAAGGATTTTCAATAGCTGATTTTTCAGATTGCTAGGCTTTCTTCTAAAGTACCAATGAGTGGTCTTAAAACTTCTAACTATAAATTAAGTTGTTATAAGTCGAGGTAGACTATAGGAAAAGCAATGGACAATATTAAGAAGGGATAATCACTGAGATGGACATTTACAATCCAGTTTTATTTGGAATGCTTTCTTCTCTTGTGATAAGGCAGGCTGGATCTTGGGACTCGGAGAGAAGATAAAATACTCTCGAGCTAGGGGATTGTTGTATGTTATCAAGTCAATTCCAACCCATAGTGTCCACGTAGTATTGAATAATCTTTTTTTCTGTATTGGTTTCCTAAATTTTACTCTTTATGGAAGCAGATAACAAGGTCTTTTTCCCCCACAAAATTGGTAAATCCCTATCAGTGAGCAGTCAAGCACTTAACCATTGAATTCCAGGGCTCCTTGGTTAAGTGTCTGGAGAGAGTACAGACTTCTGGAGAACGTAATGTCAGGTAAATCTTTATAAACTGGAGATCAGTAATACCATCGTCATCATGTCTTTGCAATAAATCGTTTTCCAGAAACCAGAGTAGGAATATTTCTTTAGGCAGCTTTCTAAAGATGATGGAGCCAGGGTAAAACTTCACTTTTGAAGCCAAACACTCAAACATTTAAAATTTATACTATTGTCATGGTATTTTTTTTTTACTTCCCATTTTTTAGGGTGCAAAATTTAACAATAGATGGCAAGCTGAAATCAATTTTAAAACTGAAAATACTAATAAATATTTATAGTCATGTTGGGAAACATGTCTTGAAATCTCTCACTAGTGTGCATAGTTCTCTACTGTCTATGAATCAATCTACTCAGAATATACAGTACCCACCATTTTCTTGCAAAGGCATAAAAGGAATCCTACCCCCCTCTGAAGTTCTTTAGAGTAAATTTTATTACTTTCAGCATTGTATATGAGTGTAGACGACCTTCTCCTTCCAGCAGTAGTTCATCTAGAACCATTGCTTATATACACAGGGGCTATTGTTTTGAAAGAGCATAACCACACATGTTTAAATCATGCTAAAATACAAAGTATTTATGAGAGGAAGAATCCTTTTAAGTCTTAAATTTTTGGAAAGCTTTTATTTATTAAATGCAAAGGTTCCTGTCTCCCATGGACCACAGCAGCAGCTTAAAAAGAACTACCAATCCTGTATTGTTGTTATGTGCCACCGAATCCCTTGCAACTCACAGCAACCCTATGTACAACAGCTCTGAACCCTGCTCTATCCTGAAAGTCATAGTCTCTGACACACCTACACCTATTACCCAAGTCACTGAGTCAATCCATCTCCTCCAGAGTCTTCCTGTCCTGAACTGTCCCTCCAGCCTGCCAAGCATAATGTTCCTCTCAAGGACTGGTCCCTCCTTGCAACATGTCCAAAGTGTGTCAGACGGAGCTTCTGAATCTTTGCCTCCCAGGAGCAGCCTGTAGACTGAGCGTGTTCAAATGTCTTGGTTGGTTCACTAATGTGTGTTTTTCCTAGATGTATGCAGAACACAGCAGATGGCCCTTCTGATCATGTAGAAGATTACCTCTGTGACCCAGAAGAGATGCCTCTTGGCTCTAGAGAATGCAAACTGCCATGCCCAGAGGATTGTGTGATATCTGAATGGGGTCCATGGACACGATGTGCTTTGGTGAGGCAATGAATTATTTCATTAATATTGGATTTGCATAATTCTTTAAATATGTTGAAAGATAGAAATTCAATTCAAATGTGTATGTTTTAGGTATCAAAGCAAGTGTGCTAGTTTGGCCATTTTATTGTAAGACAGTGACATTTAAATTTAGAGGGTTCTCCCTCAGACTGGAACAGCTTCTGTCTCCCCTTCCTCCTACCACAGCACAAAATGCCTTCCTGTAAATACACAGTACATTAAAAGCCACAGTGGTGCTAATGCACCCCTCCAGGGTGGTTGTTGTTTTTAAACAAAGGATTTTAAGTAAAGGGAATGTAAAGGTGTCAGATAATTGTCATAAGATAATTGCTTCATGTCCAATCCATTCTTTTTAAATGACAAGAATAACTTTTCACATAGTTGAGGGTATTGCACCACAAGTATTGATATTGGCATACAAGAGATATTGATAAGAGACAAAGTAGAGAGAAGCAAGCAAGGCATCAGCGAATCTCTCTGTAACATCGAACCTCTATCCCTCTGGATTTAGGAAGCCAGTTGAGTTTAAAATCCTGCAAAGCTTTAAGATTTCAAAAGTTATTCAGGGGTTTTCCAGGAATATCCTGGAAGATAGTCATCTGAAACAGAACTGGTCACTAAGGAATGCCTTGAACATTTTTATGGAGTTGTACATTTCCAAACAGCTTCAAGCATGGGGGAAATGCATCTAATGTAGAATTATTTCTATCAAGTACAATTCAGAACAATTTTTAAAAGAGTTCCTGGTCCATTTTTTTACAAGGAGAAATTAATTTTCCATCTCAGTGTTTACATTATTAAAGATGCTGATGGCTGGCCAAGTGAGACAGTGGGAGCCAAACAAGGCAGGCAATGGATTTGGATAAAGGTTAAACTGCAATAAAGAATAAACTGTTTCACAGAGTATGCCAATAATTTTCTATTCTAGTCCCATGGTATCTGATCTGAAGTTATCTCAAATAGCGGAACTGAATTCTATCATCTTCAAATATGTTTATACTTAGGAAGTTCACATAGTGTTGGAAAACTATTCTATGTGTATAAAGCAGGGAGGTGTTGATGGAAGCTTTTTTCAAAGAAGGTGTTCTGATAACCAGAACCACTAACCTGCAGCTTTCCCCAGTTGGATTCTGTGATGAATGACCAAAGTTGATCATCTTTAGAACAATAGAGGTGTCACCATAAATTTCAGAGTTGTAGAAGCATCCTTTGTGTTCCTAGATTTGCCAGTAGAAAAGTTTGAAATGAGATTGAGATTCACCTATAGAATGCTCACTCTTGGTTTAAGTTTTATATTTTACCTTTTAGTTATCTTATTTACTCAGTAGGAACTTCATTAAACATCAGTTAAGCATTTTTTTTTATCTACCAGAGCTGTATAGATTCAGAAAATACACGGGTACACATAGATATTCTCTCAAGACACCTAGAAAAAGTTGCTATATAATTCACATTATGTGGGGCAGTAAATGTTATCCTAGAGCTCCTTATAGGAAACTCTGGTGGCCTAGTATGTAAGGGGTTACACGTCTAACCCAAAGTTCAATCCTATCTGCAGTTCAAATCCACCAGCAACTCTGAGAAGGAATATGGGAAATCTCCATTGGGTTGTATAGCCTCTGAAAACCTACTGAGTCAGCTATTCATCAGTTCCAACTTGAAGGCAATGAATTGAATTTGTTGAGTTTTGTTAATGGTTAAGCACCCAGCTGGTAAGTGAAACTTTGGTAGTTTGAATCTGCCACCTGCTTCCCAGGAGAACGATACTGCAGTCAGCTTCTGTATATATAATAGCCTTGAAAATCCTCTGGGGCTGTTCTATTCTGTCCTGTAGGATTGCTCTGACTTTCTAAGAATCAAATTTAAAGCATCAAGAATTATTCTGGTGATATCACCAAAATAGAGTGGGAGCAGAAGTCATTGTTTCAGTCCTCAGAAAGTAGAGTCTGAGCCATCACTGACTCTCCATTGGGTTTCCAGGGCTGTAAATTGCATCAAGGTAGATGGCCCATTTTCTTCCTTTGAAGCCACTGGTGGATTCAAACCCCCAGAGAGGCACAGCCGCTTTGGGTTAGCAGCCCAGCTCTCTATGGAGCCCCCACCTCTCTCTTTCTCTTGTCCTTAAAAAGCAGTTCGTAGTGCTCGCTTCGGCAGCACATATACTAAAATTGGAACGATACAGAGAAGATTAGCATGGCCTCTGCGCAAGGATGACACACAAATTCATGAAGCGTTCCATATTAAAAAATTTTTAAAAAGCAGTTCGTAGAAAAATTCTGTCAGTAGAATGTTAGCATGTTGAGCTTTTGTGCTAAATTGTGTATATATGTAACATGTGCTTTAGAACAACAAGGGTGGTTGTAGCAATGGGGCTAATAAGTAGGTGATTGTTTACAATTACACTTAACATCGGTTTTACCCTTGGAATCAAAGAAATTATATTGTAAAATGCATTCACGATTCAATATATGATTTTTGTATGAGCATTATACAGTACTACAGTTGTTTGGTTTTGTGTGCATGAAATGTGATGTGTGTGCATTTGATATGTTGAATCATGGAATTTTCTAGCTAGAGAGGATACCGCTTTCTCCTTTAACACCATAATTTATTATAGATAAACTGAAGTTTGCTGTTTTGTCCAAGCTGGCCCATGACATAAACAACCTACCTCCTGCTTCATTGTGGTCCATAATATACTAGCTATTGTGTGTCTGAATATTTTTCACCTTTCTGAGAAGTTGTGTGGTTTTTTTTTTTCCCTAAGTCTTGCAATCAAAGCAATTTCCGGCAGAGGTCAGCTGATCCCATCAGACAACCTGCTGAGGAAGGAAAACCCTGTCCTGATGCTGTTGAGAAGGAGCCCTGTAACCTGAACAAAAACTGCTACCACTACGATTACAACGTAACAGGTACATGCTTAGTCATCTCATCCAGGAATTAAAGGGCGAATCTCGTGTCTGGCAGCTCCAAAGCCCTCAGTCAGCATTGTCCCTCTTCAGTTAGAGCTGTGTGTCTCTGGCCATGCTGCGTACTCTTCTAGGAAAAATTATTTAATACATTGCAGAATTGTGCATCTGTTTTAATTTTTAGTAAATATAAAATATGAAGAAAATGATAATATCATGTAGATATTACCCCTTAAAATAAAGTGGGTGGTTATTCTGAGTGATCCTATTTAAGACATTTTTGTACTTAGAGCAGACATAAAAAGAGGGAATATCTTTTCCAGATTTATTTAAAGTGATATCCCTTTTAATGATAATTTTTTTATCACTGTAACAGACTAGGACACCAGTTTTTTGATGTGTGAACAGTTTATTAGCATAATTAATCTGACATAAAAACGTTAGCAAGTATGACTTTGTATAAAAGGAGCAGATATAAAAAGGTAAGTATTTCTCAAAGAAAAAAGTTTTATTGTAAATCTTTTTTTCCCTTAAATCTCATCTAGCACCAGAAAGATATATGCCATTTAGAAAAGAAAGCATTTCATTCATTCCTATGACTTGGACAATATAGAATCTTATTTAAAATTTTGTGCAACTGAGTTTTACACTGAAAGAAACTTAAAATAAAATAAAAAAACAACTCCAAAACTGCATGACTGCCAGAATGCCTTTGTGTGTCTTTGGCCTGTTCAGCTTCCTTTAATGGCTTAAAGGAAATCACGCTTTTCCGGGACGTTCTCTGAGACCTTAGGAGGAGAAAATGAAAGAACTATTTTGCAAAAGATATTTACTGGAAGAACTAAACACATATACCAAAAGTCATTTTAAGAACATTAAGACAACTTTAAAGAATTCCAAATTTGGATGACAAGTGAAACATATATAGTGTTTTATTTCAATAATTAATTATTCAATAATTTCATTGAAATTATTGTTTTGTATACATAAAAATGGCACTAGAAGTGTACATTTTTCTTGTGTTAGGGGAAAAATTTTGAAAATGACATTTGATCTGTAAATTACAGCCATTTCTTTTTCAATCTCATCAAATTACTATCAAGATGGTCAAGTAGACATCTGCCTTCAAGAATTAATCCCTGAAGCTATGTGAAACCCCAGTGACTCCGTTGACTCCTGATATGTTCAAAGCTGGGACCCATATGCTCTGCATGTGGGATGATTGATCGCGAGGCTTAGGAAGCAGTTGTGAATTAAATATGGGATTCAGGTCATCAGAGTTTCATATGAAATCTGTTTTGTACATAGCCTTCTGTTCTTATGGGCTCCCTTCCTTTCAGACTGGAGTACATGTCAGCTGAGTGAAAAGGCAGTGTGTGGAAATGGTATTAAAACAAGAATGTTGGATTGTGTTCGGAGTGATGGCAAGTCAGTTGACCTGAAATATTGTGAAGAGGTAGGTGTATGCTGGTTATATCTTTTTCAGTAAATTCTTCCCTCATAATTTCAATTCATGCTGAGGTAAGTGACCTATGCTCCATGCAGTCCATTGCCAGCAGATGTTTTTCTGCACTATTCACAGGCTGTTAAGTACCTCTTATAAAGAGACTGTGTCCAACACTACTGATTTGTACACATAATTTCCTGTAGTTTTGTTCTGCTCAGAGCCCAAAGGTATGCTAATTAGCTTATTCTGAAAGAAATGCTTTGGGAACAATAAGTAATCAAGGTGAATAAAGCAATAAATCTTAATCCGAAGACTCATCATCTTTTGTAATTTGATGTGAATTTTGTGCAGTGCCTGGGACACCTGCCAAGACCCATCATTTGTTCTCTCTGTTGCTAAACATTGATCACATGTGGTTTAGTAGCAGATTTTTATATTAGCCTCTAATACCCAGCTGTGAGAGTCTAAGTTCTTGGACAAGGGAGCTTGAAATTTAAACAAAGGAATGGAATCTTTCATTATTATCTTCTCAGTTTAGAGAAATGCAACTGTGCATTTACAAAGTATACCAATTTAGAAAATTGGTAATGTCATCATTTCTAAATATGACCTTATAAAATGTGAGAAAACATAGTTGTTGGTGCTACTTAGATTTCATGAAGCTCCAATAAGGTATTCTAATTATCTTGTCTCATTTCCCTGCCAAAGGAGTTCTCACTTTCCTGGTAGGATTTAACTCCTGGCGTGTCTGGAGTCCACTAGGTCAAATAGGAACAAAGAAATGTAGGAGTCAGGCTAGATCTGGAATAGACTGAGAGAAGCTTGTAACCTCAGTCGGGTTCAGTAGACATGGCAGCCGTAACTTAACTCTAGATGGCCTGGGGGTTATCATAAACACAGGAAATCGTTACTGCTCCTAAGGGAAAGTTTGAGATGGAAATATTTTAATCCATTTGTTATCTCTATTCATGGGGACCTAATTTAACTTTCTCCTCTCGATGAAAGCAGAGCCCTAAGATGTGCTGAAAATGTCAAGCTGTTTAATTAATAATGCTTCCTAATATCATCTTATATTTAAATAATTAAAAATTTTACCTGAATCATTTTTAGTTTGAAACTAATAATTGCTTGATGCAACCATTATAAAAAAGAAAAGTATTTCTAATGAAGATTTTTATAATAATATACTGCTCAGAGGGATTTTGTGATTCTAATAATTTGATATTATTGTTGTTTTTGTTGTTGTTGTTGTTATGTGCTCTTAAGGTGGAACCGATTCAGAGATGACTCTAACAGGTTTTCAGAGACTGTAAACTGCACAAGAGATTGCTCATTTTTTTTCTCACAGAGAAGCTGGTGAATTCAAACCACCTGCCTTTAGATTGGCAGCACAACTCCTTACCCACTAGGCAGCCAGAGCCCCCCAGTTATTTACTATAGTCTCCTAGTTTATGGTTTTTAGGAGGTTTTATGAAAAGTTAAGACTAAGAGCTTTGGGAGGCTTTTGAGAGCTGAACCCAGATCATACAGGATCAAAACTATTGCCTATAACTACAGACAAATGTACATTGTTGTTGTTGTAGTTATGTGCTGTTGAATCACCTGTGACTCATAGTGACCCTATGTACAACAGTCCTAACCCCCGCTCTATTCTGTGCCAATCTTACTGACTCTGATACACCTACTACCATTACCCCAGTCACTGAATCAATCCATCTCATTGAGGGTCTTCCTCTCTTGTGCTGTCCCTCCACCGTCCCAAGCATCATGTCCCTCTCCAAGGACTGATCCCACCTTGCAACATGTCCAAAGTATGCCAGACAAAGCTTCAGAATCCTTGCTTCCCAAGAGCAGCCAGGCTTCACCCTCTCCAGGCTGAACCTGTTTGTTTTTCTAGCTGTCCATGGCATATTCAATGCTCTTCTCCAGCACCATAGCTCAAAGGCATCAATTCTCCTTCTATCATCCCTAGTCATTGTCCAGCTTTCCAGTGCATAGCAAGTAATTGCAAAGACCATGGCCTGTGTCAGGTGCACTTTACTCTCCAGACTAACAGTATTGCTCTTCAGTACTTTGGAGAGGTCTCTGACAATAGACTTTTCCAATGCAATTCATCTTTTAATTTCCTGGCTGCTGGTACCAAGAGTGTTGATTTTAGAACCAGGCAAACTGAAGCTGTTAACAATATCAATCCCTTTACTATCTATCATTAGCATCTTTAAATTCTGAAAAGAAATTTGAGTGAAAACTGGAGGATTCAGTAATTTTGATTATGCAGTCACCTGGCTAAATTTACTTTCAAGAGTGAATACTGTAATACTTGAATACTGTGGTAACAATAGGGGATTCAAATCATAACATTGTAGCAAACATTATCTTCAGGGAGGATGGCAGTATACACTCTACAGGAGCTAGACTAAACAGCTCATATCCCATTTTATATATTCAATGGATGCAGTAACATTTCATAATAATCTGAGAAACACTGATCTTTCTTTTTAAACAGGAGCTTGATATCATGTCTTTAATACATGTGCAAAATCCTGCTATTGTGTAACAATAGTTCACTCTTGCTGCTTCCTTTTGTATAAAAAGAAAGAAGGTGTAAGTACACAAGAAAGAAGAAAATTACGGTTAAACCTTCTCAGCACTTATATATAGTATTTTCTCTTGGTTGTTTTTTTATAAAATTAACTCCCCTAAAACCTAGTTGTTGGTTCCTCCTCCCCTATTTTATCTTTTTTTTATTTCTGAACAGATTTCATTTACTAAGATGTATATTTAGGTAGATGAGATAGATATATATACATACATAAAAGATAACTATGATATATACGTGTAAGAAAAAAGTTGGATGAGGTTAAAATATCTTTCTAGTCTGAGTTAGTAGGTGTCATTGAATTGACTGTGGCTCATAGCAACACTATGATCAACAGATCCAAAGAATACCTTATCCTGTACCATCTTCAGTCTCCAGCATTTTCAAACTCCTTGCTGCAATCACTGTGTCCAAAATATCTGTGAATAAATATTCACAGCTTTCTATTAGGATAAATAAATCTGTATAAATAAAATTCTCCGATTCAGGTGCTCCATAAAGCTACTATCTATCTTAAATGTAAATGTCATCTTATTCAAAATACCTCAAGATGTATATTGCCAACTTCCTGTGATGTTAGGAGGCTTTATTAGGCTTTAATTAAGTGATAGGGTAAAAATCTGCACACCAAATACTTCATCATGTCTCCCAGGTAAAGATTAAAATGAGAATGGCTGCATAGGATGTAATACACAAAGTTTTACTCTCAGTGACTAAGATAGAACAGTGAGCTATATATACTAAGTTATGTATAACACTTCAAGGAAAAAATGTGTTCCGTCTTCCTCTGCTGTATGTATTGGATGGTACACAGTCTCTTCCATGAAAAAAAAAATAAAGTTCTTGAAAAATTCCAAAGGTTAAATGTTTGTATAATGCTTTAATACACTTAGTTCTTTAAAGGGACAACTTAACTTTAACACCTTTTCCTTTTGTTTCTCCATTTCAACATATACATATAAAAACAAATAATGTAGGAATTGTTCCCTCACTTTTCAAAGAGAAGAGCGAACCTGGGTGGGGGGGGAGTGCGGGGAGAAAATGAATGAATGGAAATCCAAAACCTCTGTAAATGTTCACTAAAATTAATAAAAAACAAACAATGTACCGCTCTATTCTGTGCCAATCTTACTGACTCTGATACAAGAACAAACTGGGAGGAGGGTAGAGAGAATAGTGCAACAATGAATGAATGGAAACCCAAAATCTCTGTAAATGTTTATGAAAATTAATAAAATATAGAAAAAAATCTATATACTTATGCTTTTCAATGAGTACAAATATAAGTGCTTAAACTTTTTTGTTCTTCATTTAGAGAACTATAGTGTATTTGAACTACAATCTACTTTCTTTCTTGCTGTTTAAAAGTCCAAACAATGCACCAATAAATATATCAAGTCAGTGGGTGTGACCATTTGTCTTGAGCCTCTTGTTCTCTCTCTCTCTTGGATGGAGTCTGGGTGTATGTTCTCCAGATGTCTAGGTTTTTTATCCTATAATGCAGCTTGCTTGTGTTTGGATTCTCTCTCTATCTCGCCTCATCTCTTTCTCCGTCCCAACAATATACACTACTCATTCTGCTATGGGGGTACTAACTGATCTACCTCTGTGCTTTCAGCTTGGCCTGGAGAAGAACTGGCAGATGAATATATCCTGCATGGTTGAATGTCCTGTGAACTGTCAACTGTCTGATTGGTCACCTTGGTCAGAATGTTCACAAACATGTGGCCTTACAGGTTTGTTTGTATTTCAGTTAATACTAGGGAAATGGTCAGGAAAGGGAATTCTGGTAGCCTTGTACATAGAGAGTTGTGCTGTCAACCCAAAGACGCATAGTTAAATCTACCAGCTGTTCTATGAGAGAAAGATAGAGACTCTCCTTTCGTGTCATTTACAGCCTCTGAAATCCCACTATATGGTCAGCTAGAAGTAGAATCTGTCTCAAGAGCAATGAGTTAATGGTCAACAATTATTAAATAAAATATTCCTTGTTTTGAATCATTTAATCCTCAGATGATTAGATTAGGTATATTTCTTTCCAAAATCACCAAGCCTTTCTTGCTCTTTGTATCTTCAAAGGCCAGATCACAATGATACCTTTTCCCAGTTAAATTTGTGCTTCTACAACTGTACCACACCATTAATATTGCATTGCTTTGCATCTTCTAAAGGAAAAATGGTACGAAGACGAACAGTGACTCAGCCTTTTCAGGGTGATGGAAGACCATGCCCCACCTTGATGGAACAATCTAAGCCTTGCCTCGTGAAGCCCTGCTATCAGTGGCAGTATGGCCAGTGGTCTCCGTGCCAAGTCCAGGTATCAAATTAGGACAAGTTATGCAGGGCTGTGTATACTTTATCTGCAAAAATTTGCTTTCTGAAACTAGGAAAATGAACAGGTTTGTCCTGGAGAGGGTGAAGCCAGGCTGCTCCTTGGAGGCAAGGATTCTGAAGCTTTGTCTGACATACATTGGACAAGTTACAAAAAGGGACCAGTCCTTGGAGAGGGACATCATGCTTGGGAGGGTGGAAGGACAGTGCAGGAGGGGAAGACCCTCGATGATTGGATTGATTCAGTGACGCGGGTAATAATGGGGGCTGGTGTGTCAAAAATGGTGAGATTGGCAGAGGATAGGGCAGAGTTTAGCGCTGTTGTACATAGGGTCACTATGAGTCACAGGCCGCTCGACGGCACATAACAACAATAACACCACAGACATCAATTTTTAACTTCAAGGTTTAAGTACCTTGCCATTTCATACCCATTTATTAATTTTAATTTTTAAAAAAATCCCTGTTCTTTATTTTAAAACCATTTGGAGACTGATTTGTTTTCATGAGAATGTATGTGCCTATCCTTGGCTAAAAAACAAACACATTTTTCATTGTATGTTTTATCTCTGGGATACCCGCAGAGCTTCTTCCCTTGGGTTTCAAGTGTTTCTCTAACCACTCATAAATCAAAATCAGTGGTGCAAAGATGATTGTAAGTAATGAGCTTGCTGATGAATTATTTTCTTTTTCTTAATTGGCTGCTTCTTACTCCATTCCAGGATGCCCAGTGTGGAGAAGGTACCAGAGTGAGGAACATTTCCTGTGTTGTGAGTGATGGGTCTGTGGATGATTTCAGCAAAATAGTGGATGAGGAATTCTGTAGTGACATCGAGCCCATTGTAGATGGTGACCAAAAAATGATTTTGGAGGAAACTTGCACACAACCTTGCCCAGGTAACATAATAATAATAATAATAATAATAATAATAATAATAATAATAAATAATAGTAAAAATTTTGATTTGGGTGATTTCTCCCTAAGACTGGAGCCAAGTACAGGTTACATATATAATATGGATTAAGATATGCAGCTGCCTTCTTGTTAAGAAATAATTATGCCAGAACACCTACAGTCCTCTGCTCTTTCCCTTCATCTCAATGCCCCTGTTCAGCATTAATCTGCCAGAGAATCTGTGCCCATTCCCAAATGAGAAACCCACAAATGAAAAATACAGCTTTTTTGTAAAAAAATAATAATAATAATAATCACAATTGGACTATGAAAAAATAATTATGCCAACAGCTATCCACAACATCTCACTTCTGTACCTCAGATTCATCCTTTGAGTTATGGTTTCCTTAACAATAGGCAAATAAAAAGCAAACATTTACACTGGGTGATTATACATTGCATCCAGTGTCATGTCAGCAGTCAAGGTATTTCTGTATGCTAAGGGGTAATTCAAGTCTCTCCTTGGAGGCTAGGATGTTGAAGCTCCGTCTCATATACTTTGGGCATGTCGCCAGGAGAAGGACATCATGCTCAGAATGGTGGAGCGACAGGGACAGTGCAGGAGAGGAAGACTCAGATGAGATAGATTGATACAGTAACTGGGGCAATGGGGGTCGGTGTGTCGGAGTCAGTGAGACGGGCTCAGGACAGGGCAGGCTTCAAAGCTGCTATACATAGTGTTGCTGTGATTTGCAGGTGACTTGATAGCGCATAATGACAAGTTATGTCTAGAAAGAAGCAGACAAGAATATAGAAAATAATACAAGAAATTCAGGATGCTTGAAAAGGTTGTAGAATACCTAAGAATCTGTAGAAGAACCAGACCCAAGTGAAAATATGATGTACTGCTAATATTTCAATGGAAGCCCAAAGTCCTTATTAATTTTTCAGCAAAGAAAAACTAGTGGCTAACATTGAGAAAACAGGGAAACTCAGAACACTTGATTGTGCTCGTGTGAATCCTATATTTAGACCAGGAAGCAGATATTAGAACAGAGCAAGGAAACACTGTATGGTTCAAAATCAAGAAAAGAGTATGTCATGGATGCGTCATGTCACCATACCTTTTCAAGCTGTGTCTGGAACAGATCATTTTGGAGGATGGACTTTATGAAAAGGAATACGGCATCAGGTTTGGAGGAAGACCTACCAACAAACTACATTATGTAGAGACACAACGTTGCTTGCCAAAACTGAGGAGGACCTGAAGCGTTTGATACAGAAAATCAAGGTCTGTAATCTTTAATGTGGATTGAAGCTTAACATTGAGAGAACAGAGATTCTCACCACCTGGCCAATTGGCAATATCATGATAGATAAATAGATAGATGATAGATGATAGCTAGCTAGCTAACTAGCTAGAGAGAGAGAGAGAATAAAGAGATTGAGGTTGTTAATAATTTCATTGTTGAAATCCACAATAACCTTTCTTGGCACCAGCAGTGAGTAAATCAAAGGCAAATTGCTTTGGGAAAATCCGTTGCCAGGGATATCTCCAGAGTGCTAAGGAACACTAAGATATGCCTGATCCAGGACATGGTCTTCTCAATTACTTGTTATACATCTGACCTGGACAATGACTAAGGATAACAGAAAAGAATCAACTCTTTTGAGGTGTGATCCCAGAGAAGAGTATTGAAGATACAGTGGATTGCCAAGAGTGTCCTGGAGACATTGAAACCAACTTGCTCCTTGGAAGCAAGAATTACAAAATTCTATTTCACATACTTTGGGTATGTTACCAACAAGGACCAGTCCTTGGAGAAGGACATCATGCTTGGAATGATGGAAGGTCAGTTGAGGAGAGGAAGGCCTTAGACAAGAACTAACAGAGTGACTGTCCAGTGGGGGCAGGTGTGTTAGAAACAGTGAGATTGGCTCAAGATAGGGCTAGAGGTTCCGTGCCATTGTTCATGGAGTTATTATGACTCCTAGTCAACTTGATAGCACAGAATAAGAGGAAAATCATCACTGGGATGATTGGAAGCATCATAATAATGAAAAAATTGAGATTATTAACAGATTGTCAACACTCTTGGTACCAACAAAGAGGAAATTAGAAGACAAATCACATTGGAAAAGTCAGCTGTCAGAGACCTCTCCAAAGTACTGAAGACCAAAAATGTCAGTCTGGAGAGTAAAGTGCACCTGATGGTGTTTGCAATTATTTGCTATACATAGGAAAGCTGGGCAATGACTAGGGATGATAGAAGGTGAATTGGTGCCTTTGAGCTATGGTGCTGGAGAAGAGTATTGAATATACTATGGACTGCTAAGAGAACAACCAAGTTCATCCTGGAAAGGGTAAAGCCAGGCTGCTACTTGGCGGCAAGGATTCTGACGTTTGTTTTTTATCTTTTATTATTATTAATTTTATTGAATGTTTATAGAGACTTTGGATTTCCATTCATTCATTGTTGTACTTTTCTCCCTGCCCAACCTCCCCCCACCCCCAGTTTGCTCTTCTCTTTGAAAAGTAAAAAAAAAAAAATATTCTTTCATTGTTATACAATCCCTCCCCTCAAGTCCACTTCACTATTCAGCCTTCGTTCAGGACTCCTGTCATGACAATAATACCTAATCATATATCCCTTTTAAATAGTTATCTCCTTCATCTGTTTCAATGCAGTATACATAACTTAGTCCATCTTTCTAAGTCTTCCCCCGATGTCAGTCCCGTTTTACAACAGTAGCACTATGCAGTATTTGTCCTTTTATGACTGAGATATTTTGCTCAGCATAATGTCCTCCAGGGTCACCCATTTTATATAATATTTCATGAGTGCCTTATTTTTCAATGGAGCATAGTATTTCATTGCGTGAATATACCAGATCTTCTCTATCCATTTGTTTGTTGATGGGGGATCTGAAGTTTTGTCTGACATACTTTGGACATGTTGCAAGGTGGGATCAGTCCTTGAAGAGTGCCGTCATTCTTGGGAGGATAGAGGAACAGTGCAAAAGAGAAAGACCCTCGATGAGATGGATTGATTCAATGACTGGGGTAATGCGGGTAGGTGTATCAGAGACAATAAGACTGAGCAGGGTTTAGGGCTGTTGTACATAGTTGTCACAGGCAACTCAATGGCACATAACAACAATAATATACATATCTCAACTACATATCTATATTTATTTATTTCAACTATATGTATATATCATACACACACACACACACACACACACACATACATATACTGCTAGGAAAACAAACAGATTCATCCTGAAAGGGTTAAACTGGGTGGCTCCTTGGAGGCAAGGATTCTGGGGCGTCTGACATACTTTGGACATGTTGTGAGGAGAGACCGGCCCTTGGAGAAGGACATCATGCTTGGGAGGGTGGAGGGACAGTGCAGGAGGGGAAGGCCCTCTATGAGGTGGATTGATTCAGTGACTGTGGTGATTGGGATGGGCGTGTCAGAGGCAGTGTGATTGGCACAGGACAGAGCAGAGTTTAGGGCTATTGTACATAGGGTCTCTATGAGTGGCAAGTGACTCGATAGCACATAACAACAACTATATATATATATCTCAGACATTCCTTTTGTACTCCCTGCTTTCAGCCAAGGTCCATCTAACATTAGCTACAATATCCCTAGTATCACAGCCTCTTCTATCTTGGCCTGCATTTCTGGCAGTTCTCTATTGATATGCTGTTCTAGTCGTTTTGGATAATTTTCAGTAGAATCTTGCTTGTATGTGATATTAATAATATTGTTCAATAATTTCTGCCCACTGTCAGATAGTCTTCCTTTGGAATGGGAACATATATATATCTCTTTCAGTCAGTTGGCAGGTGGTTTTCCTACAGATTTCTTGGCACAACTTGGTGAGCATATCTAGGGCAACATCTTCTTGGTGAAGAGATTGAGATTGTTAACAGCTTTAGTTTGCTTGGCTCCACCATTAACACCATTTGCACAAGCAGCCATTAAATTAAAAGACAAATTGCATTGGGAAAGTCTGTTGTCAGAGACTTCTCCAAAGTACTGAAGAGCAGCAATGTCAATCTGAAGACTAAAGTGTGTCTGATACAGGCCATGGTCTTTGAAATCACTTGCTATGCATCAAGGAGTTGGACAATGACTAGGGATAATAGAAGGAGATTTGATGCCTTTGAACTGTGGTGTTGGAGAAGAGTATTGAGTATACCATGGACTGCTAGGAGAACAAACAAGTTTGTCCTGGAGAGGGTGAAACCAGACTGTCTTTAGAGGCAAGGATTCTGAAGTTTTGTCTGACATACTTTGGACATGTTGCAAGGAGGGACCAGTCCTTGGAGAAAGACGTCATGCTTGGGAGGGTGGAAGAAGAGCGCAAGAGAGGAAGACCCTCAGTGAGATGGATTGATTCAGTAACTGAGCTAATAGGGGTAGGAGTGTCAGAGACAATGAGATTGGCACACGATAGAGCAGGATTTAGAGCTGTTTGGTCACTGTGAGTCACAGGCCATTCAATGGCACATAACAGTACCAATATATACCTCAACTATCTCTCTCTCTCTCTCAAATATATATATCTCAACTATCTGTATCTCTCATCTAGCTATATCTCTAAACTATCTATATCACAATCTATATCTCTATCTATCTATCTTGAAAGCAAGAGTGGCATCCGCTTCCTAAACAACATGCCTCTGGAAACTCTATGAACTTTGATAAATGATGATAGTTATAGAAATGCTTCAGGCTTTTAATCATAGGGTCGCTATAAATCGTGCTTGCACACACATACACACACATATATGTATGTATCTGGTGACCAAGTGGCAAGAAGCTGTGGAGCAATCCAAAGGCACATGGTTTGGGCCACCAGCCACTGCTTCTCTATGGTAGAAGGATGGGCAGTCTCCCATGAAATAAACTGCCTCTGAAAACCCACCAGAAGGTCAGCTATGGATTGATTCCAACACTATGGTACAGCAACGACAACATATACTTAAAATGGTCACCACAGCAGTATTCACAACAGAGAAACCTTGAAGCTTTCCACAGGGTCATCTGCAAGTGAAAGATTGCAGACAGAAGTCCATATGGCTTGATATTATATATAACATGAAGGAAGTTTCTGACGTTTGGGTAATGGACTGTTCATTGATGGTTCCACAATCACATAATTAGACTGTGGAACTTCCATTACCTAGATATATACTATAAGTGAAATTTTTGCAAGCCTATTATAACTCAGTGAATAATTAATGAATTAAGGAATGATTATTGCTATTATTCAACTGCAACTGCACAGTCAGCTGTCCCAGCCCTACTCCCCTGCAAAGAACTAAGACTGAAACATGTATCATCTTTTTCATTCTTTTGCTTGAAGTTCTCTAAAAAAAATGTGAATTACTATAAGAAAATTTTAGGTATACTTAGGCTTCCTTTGAATAATACTGTTTTTTTTAGAAATCCTTTTGCAATAATAATAATAATCAATAATAAAGATGTAGTCTCTTAAGAGTAGGTAAATCACAATTACGCAGCTCCCTTCAAGAAATAGTTCATATCTTATAACCTTCAACAGTAGCATTAAACCAGAAAATGAAGGATATTACATCTGAACATTTTTTAATCTCAGTTGCTAGAAGTGATAAGATGTAAAATGATCATCTGGCTGGCTGCTGTATGTGGGTAATGTTATGCACTTCTAACCTGCGCTTTTCAGGTGATTGTTATTTGAACGAATGGTCTTCTTGGAGCCTCTGTCAGCTGACTTGTGTGAATGGAGAGGACCTTGGCTTTGGTGGAATACAGGTTCGATCCAGAGCAGTGATTATACAAGAACTGGAGAATCAACATTTGTGTCCAGAGCAGATGTTAGAAACAAAGTCATGTGATGGTGAGTGATGCAATTCAAGAAATTAATAAATATAAATGTATATAAATGTGTATTGTTGTTGTTGTGTTCTGTCGAGTCAGAACTGCCTCATAGCTGACCCCTGGCGGGTTTTCACAGTCAGTCAATCTCATGGGAGGAGCTTGCCCGTCTTTCTCCTGCAGAGCAGCTGATGGATTCGAACCGCATGCCTTCAGGATTGCAGTGCAGATATAAATTTCATGTTGAAAGGAAAATTCATAAAGCATAGAATTTTCTTTAAAATGAATTTGACAAGGTCTGTGATGTTGATAAAGTTGAATTAAGGATCTGATATTGAAATTAGAGGAACAAGGATTTTATGCCACCCTTTATAATTAGATGGGAAATATTTTTACATATTTCCCAGTTTTGTGAGCTAAGGAATATATTTAGCAATATATTACTTGTGCACATAAAATAAGCCTGATTATGTATGAATCCTAACAGCATCTTGAAATTGTTTGAAGCAGGTAACAGAAGGATAGGAATAAAACTACACTGTGAATGAGACATTTTAACATATTCTCAAAATGTAAAATCTGGTGCATAGCAAGTTTTATCTTAATTTGACCTAGAACATATATGACCATATATGTGTGTGTATGTGTGCCCAAACATATAAGCTCTAGTGGCCTCGTGGAAGAAACTGCACTGTGTTGTCAAAGGCATGTGCCTAAAATTCACTATGGGAGAAGGACGGGCAGTCATAGGGAGGAGATTGCCATATAGACAGCCCTGGTTTGGTTCCTACATGATAGTACACAGTAACAACAGTAATCAGTATCTTTAAGGATATATGTGTCGAGACTGATCCATAGCTGACCCTATAGTGGTTATTCAGAGGCAGTTAATCTCATAGGAGAAGATTGTCCATCCTTCTTGTGCAGAGCAACTGGTGGATTCAAATTGTGGGCTTTGAGGATTGCAGTGCAGTTTCTTACCACAAAGCCAACAGAGATCCCTATATAAAGATACAGAAATGTGGAGATGATAGATAGATAGATGATAGATAGATAGATAGGCAGATCTTTAAAAAGCATAGTACTTAAGGTTTACATCAACTTCAGAGTAGTCATTATTGTCACATAGGGAGAGAGAGGAGATCAGAAGAGAATATTATAGGATATCAATTTATCTGTTACATTTTATTCATGAAGTGAAAGAAAATAGAGCAAATATGTCTAACTGGTTACATTTGTTAAAACTGTATATGCAATACTTGAATATATACTTTTGTTATCTCTGTGCTTATTTATAAGTTTGACATCTTACTATAAAGAAAAAAGTAAAATTTTATTAAAAGTCCAGGTAGTTAGCAGTAGATAGGGAAAATCAATTGAGGCTTGGATATAATTTTTCAATATTTTGTGTCAACTTGAAAATAATAAATTGACATTTGAGTTATCAGAGATGGACTTCTTATCACTCATCAGTAGTTCATGAATGTTTGATTAACACCTTATTCCCTAGATGATCCTCCTGCAAAGTAGAATGTTCCTGTTAATATTTCTTTTATCTCCACAGATGGCCAGTGCTATGAGTATAAATGGATGGCCAGTGCTTGGAAAGGCTCCTCTCGAACAGTGTGGTGTCAAAGGTCAGATGGTATAAATGTAACAGGTAAACCTTCATTTTTCCTTTGTTTTGTAGAAAGCGAAATGTAAATGTATAAAGGCATTCTGTAACACACATGTAATTGGATAGACAAAATAACAGAGGAAGCAGAAAAGCGTCTTCCAGGGCTGAGCACAAGGCCGGCATTCAAGACTCCAGAGCTGTGTGACTAGTGACAACTTTTTTATTGAATAATATTTAAAATTCTCTCTCACCCATCCATTTTAGACATGGCTACCAGACCTCACTTAATTAAAGTACTAACTAATAAAGAAGTTACAAGAAAATAATTTCAAGAATGATTTTCCTATAAGAAAATTCTACATTTGTAACTCACTAGTTGTAAAAACAAAACAAAACTGTATTTTGTTAATTGTGATTGCTCTGTTCCTTCAAGGCAATAGTAATATGAGCCAAAAGTGTTATGAAGGGACTATAATGTAAAGACAAAATGGTGTGATTGGATTCAAAAATCTCTTGGTTAGAGGGATTTTTATTAATATATTTTTAAAATAATAATAAGTTGCCATGTGCAAGATAGGGAAGCCAGGTGGTAAATTCAAGCAGATAATCTGAGCTATTTTCCCACTATGATTTCAAACACATAAACACCCAGAAAGATACCTAAGGAAAGAACTCTTTGAATGTCCTTTGAACTAAGTATACCACAGAGAACTGTTCTAGTCTACAAATATTGTTTTATTTTTAAGATTCAATAAATGCTCAGAGGGTACCAGGGTTTAAAACTGGGTTAATAAGTAACAAGTAATGTACAAGAATAAGAAGAATTGGAATCCTAGAGCCCTTAATAGTAACCATGCAAAATCTATCCATAGACCACAAAGCAGTTGTCTGAACAGAATAAGGGAACACTACATGGCTTAAAATCAGGAAAGGCGTGCATCTCGTTTACATCATTCTCTGGACCTGTTCAAATTGTATGATGAGCAAAACAGTCAAGAATCTGGACAACATGAGAATAATATGTCCTCAGGCCTGAAGGAAGACTCATCACAGTTGCATTATGCAGATAACACAATCTTGCTTGCTGAGAGTGAAGAGGATTTGAAGGAACTGCTACAGAAAGTCAAAGATTACAGCCTTCAATAGGGATTACATCTTACCAAGAAAACAAAAATCCTCACTGATGGTCCTATAGGCAACATCATGATAGATGAAGAAAAGATTGAAATTGTTAATGATTTCATTTTATTTGGAGCTATAATCAATACCCTTGGTACCAGCAATCAAGAAATCAAAAGACACACTGAATTGGGAAAAGAATTTCTGTCAAGGATCTATTTTAAGTGCTAAAGATCCAAAACATCAATTTAAAGAAAAATCCAAGTTATGATCTTTTCAGTTACTTCCGCTGCATCTGAAAAAGGGTCAATGATTAAGGATGACAAAAGAATGATTAATGCCTGGAAAAGTATCAGTTGGGAGATGTTGGCAAAAAGTACTATCCCATGGACTTCCAAAAGAGCAAGCAAATCTGTCTTGGAAGAAATATGACCAGAACCACCTTGCTTACTCTTGGCTTGTTGTCAGGATCCTGACATGGCAAATCCATCATTCTGGGAAATATAGAAGTTCAGACAAAATGAGGACGACTCTCGGTGAGCACAAGAGTGGACGTGAGCATGAGTATGGTGCAAGGTGCTGTTGTTGTTAGGTCCCATTGAGTTGAGTAGGACTCACAGCAACTTTATGAACAACAGACCTCAACCCTGGCTATCATATGCCATCCTCACACTTCCTTGTTTGGAGACTCTTGTTTGATGGTGCAAGATGGAGTCCAGATAATTCAGATCTGCTCTTCAAAGGGTTACTGTGAATTGTAGATGAGTGGGTTGAACCTAACAACAATAACAGCAAAGACTCCCAAAGAACTGTGACTGGAGAGGAGGCTGGCTACAGCTTTGTGGTGGACTATTCTACAGACTTCCTAGACCAAAACCAAAGATTGGAAATACAATCTAATAAATAAAATTCTGTGGTTGTTATTTACTCAGATTCATCACCATCCAATGTACAACTGAACAAAAAATCATTATTCCTCTTATACAATCCTCAGGGAGGTCTGGTGACCTAGTGGCAAGAAGCTATAATCCCGAAGGCATGTGGTTCAAGGCCACTAGCTGCTCTGCAGGAGAAGAATGGGTAGTCTCCTCCCATGCAATTAACTGTCTCTGAAAATGTGCTGGAGGGTCAGCTGTGGGTCAGCTCTTACTCGACGGTACACAACAACAACATATAATCCTCAGAATCACCAGGACGTTCTTGGCCAGTTATTGTGCCCGTCCGTTCCAAGAAGAGTTTCTTTCAGCCTTACAAGATCTCTGATTCATGCAGTATGATGTCCTCTTCTAGAGGTTAATCGTTTTTGCTGACATGTCCAAAGTAAGCAATTTGGACAATGTTCTGTTGTACTCTATAAATGTTTTCATTGGATAATTTTCATTAATCTCCTAGTAAATCTTAATCTGACAAAATCTGTCCACCATAGGTGACCCTATTAACATTTGAAATACCAGTGGCATGGTTTCCAGCACTGTAAAAACATGCAAGCCACCACAATGCAAACTGACATAGGCGTGGTGGAAAGGGCTAAGGCTTCTCATTAAATAACTTCTTTTTTTATAGGCCTAGTCTGTAGAGGTAGTCATCAGAACAGAGCAAGGAAACACTGCATGGTTCAAAATCAGGAAAGGGGTGTGTCTGGGATGCATCCCGTCTCCATACCTTTTAAATCTGTATGTAGACCACATCATTTGAGAGGCTGGATTTTATGAGGAGTGTGGAATCAGGTTTGGAGGAAGACTCATCAACAACCTACATTATACAGGTAATACAACCTTGCTTGCTGAGACCAAGGAGGAACTGAAGCATTTGTTGCATCAGAAGGGCAAGGTCTATAATCTTCACTATGGATTGAAGATATATACATCAAGATGACAAAGGTTCTCACCACTGGGCCAAATGGAAGCACCCTGGTGGGTGGGAGAAGAGACTGAAGTTAAAAATTTCAGTTTGCTTGGCTCCACAATCAACACTCTTAGCACCAGCGGTCAGGAAATCAAAAGACAAAATGTACTGGGAAAGTTGGCTGTCAGAAACCTCTCCAGAATGCTGAGGAGCAATGAAACTAAGGTGCACCTGATCCAGGCCTTGGTCTTTGACATTACATGCTATGCACCAGAGAGCTGGACAGTGACTAAGGATGACAGATGAATTGATCCTTTTGAGTTGTGGTACTGGAGAAAAGTATTAATCGTATTATGGATCACCAAGAGAACAAATAGGTCTGTCTTGGAGAGGGTGAAACCAAGTTTCTCCTTGGAGGCAAGGATTTTGAAGCTCTTTCTGACATACTTTGGGCATATGGCCAGAAAGGGCCAGTCCTTTTAGAAGGACATCATGTTTGGAAGAGGAGAGGGACAGCACAGGCGAGGAAGACCCCAGATGAGAGGGATTGACATGATAACTGTTGTAATGGGATTAGGTGTGTTGGAGTCAGTGAGACTGTCTCCAAATAGGGCAGGCTTTTGGTCACTGTGAGTCGCAGGTGACTTGATGGCACATAAGAACAACAACAATAGTCTGTAGATGCTTCTATCAAATAACGACATGAATATTGACAATTAAATTCTCCACAAGAACCAGCTGAATGGATCTCATTACTTTCACCTTCCTTTGGTGGGAAACAAAATACTATGCATTTAGATGTCTGTGAATATAATTTATTTTAAAATGTAGTTTCCCCAAGATAAGAAAGATGAATCTATGCATTTTAAAATCACCGACTTTTATATTGAATTTTAAAATACTTGGATTTATTCAAACCTAATTACTCATTTGTTCCTGAGAAAGCTGGAACAAGATGTTAAATTGTATTCTTTGGCTGTATTATTTTATACATGAAAAATCTGAATACATCAAGAACTCTGTGTTATCAAAAACTCCTTAATAATAGTAACTCTGAATAGAAGCATATATAACCAAGAAAAGGCACCTATCATGGGAAGCTTATAAATATAAGAATATTTTATTGTGAAAACGTTATCCTGCTTACACTATTTTAAGACACATGGAATGAAAATAGCCCTGATTAGGAGAGTTGATCCTTTCTGAGCCAGGAGTTAAGGTCACTCACCTAAGTAAAATATTGGAAATGAATATCTTTATTCTCCTTTGAACTTTTTAGAGAAATTTTATAACTTCTCCAAAGGGCTCACCTTATTTGCAATCTTTTCTTTTTTTTCTAAATACAGATACTAATAATCTTGTTCATTCATTCCCCAAATCAAAGAGAAGTGAAATTTTAAAAAACTTACCATGAAGTCATGTTTTATCAGTAAAAAAGTAAACCAGCATATTTTTTTGTCTTCTAATTCTATTTTAGGGAGCTCTGGTGGTATAGTGGCAAGAAGATGCACTGCAGTACTGATGGCATGTGGTTCAAGGCCACCAGTTACTCCATGAGAGAAGGATAGGCAGTCTCCTTCCATTCATTTAATTCTCTCTGAAATTGTGCCAGAGGGTCATCTCTAGGTCGGTTCTGATTCCACAGTACACAGCAACAGCAATGCTATTTTGCTCTGGTAGCCTAGTAGTAAGAAGCTGCACTACGGTCCCATAGATACGCAGTTCAAATCCACCAGCTGCTCTGAGAGAAAAGGATGAATAATCTCCTCCCATTTTCCAGGACAGTGATTAACTGTCCCAGAAAACCCGCTTGGGAATCAGCTATGATTTACTGTGTCTGAAAATTCACTGGAGGGTCAGCTATGGGTCAGTTCTGACTTGATGACAACCACACACCAAAAAAAAAAGAAAGAAAAGAAAAAGAAAAGCCATTTTGCAGCCAGAGGGCACCTCAGAAGCAAGGCTGGTGAAACTTCATCTCACATATTTTGAGCTTGTTGGTAGGAGAAGCTGTTCCTTGGAAAGGAATACCATGTTTGGAAAAGTGGAGAATCATTGAAAGAGACAAAGGCCTACAATGAGATGGATTGTCATAGTGACTGCAGCAATGAGCTCATGTGTGTTAGAGGTGGTGAAGAGGCACAAGAGAAGACACAGTTCAGATGTGTCATTCATAGTATCGCTCTGAGCTTTACTTGACCCAAAGGCACCAAACAACAGCAATGCTATTTGAAACTCTGTTGGTCTATAGGTAAGGTTTCATGCTGCCAACCCAAATGCACACAGTTGCTATCTGCTAGCTGCTCCATGGGATAAAGATGGACAGTACTCTTTCGTGAGATTTACAGACTCTGCAATGGCAGCTATGGGCTGGTCTGACTTTGTGGCACATAACAATGCTATTTGAAGAGAGCTTTGTAGCCTAGTAATAAGAGTTGTGCTGCCAACCTATAGGCACTCAGTTCTAAGCCTCCTGCTGCTTTGTGGGAGAAAGACAGACAATCTCTTACCATGTGATCTACTGCCTCTGAAAAGCAGCTGAACAATCTCACTCAATGGCAAATAACAAAAACAAAAAGCTTTTGGATAATAAAAACAATATGGAAATAAATTGTATAAAACTATATTCCATATTTTAGGGGAAATAAGATTTTATACGTAAAATTTAAAAAACATAAAGTATCTTTCTTCGTCAATTACTCTTATGAATAGATGTCATTATAAGAAACTCAAGATTTTTTTTTTTTATCCAATGTGTTTCATGAGAGAGTTCAGGCAGTCAGGCAGTCTGGTGTAAAAGGAGTTCCATTGTTGAATCAAAGGTCATGCCTCACTGAAGTTTGAATCCAAGAAAAGATAAGCAATCTCTACTCATACAATTTACAGCCTAAGGAATCCAATGGAGAGGCAGCTATAAATTGTTTCTAACTCGCTGGCAATGAGTAGAATGAAGCTAAATGGTTTATTCACTACAATTACATTGCAATGGCTTAACTTCCTATCTACTAGTTTTCTATGAATCCCTGTTTGTAATATTGAGAGTTAAGGTAGCAAATTATCGTTGTTGTTGCTGAGCATTAGTCACCACTAATTTAATTCCAGAGCATTAATAATCCATAAATAAAGGGGAAGTGTTGCTAAAATTTTGTTAGTATAACTGTTGTGGTGGGGGTGGTGTGCTTTCAAGTTGGGACTGACCCTACAAGAGAGGCTGTTAAATGCACCTGAGGAGATTGTTCATTCTGCCTGCTTTGGGAATTGCAGTGATTCTTAGCACTAGGCCTCCAAAGCTCCCTAAGTATAATTAGTATCATTTGAAATTATTAGTTCGTTCACATCACTAATATTACTCTTTATGACATTTGTTCTTATCTTAATAACTCATTGGAAACTTAGATATGTTGCTACTGTACTTGAAAACAAGGAAGAAAGAAAGATAAAAAAGCAGTGATATCATGCTGGGAGGGAAATAGCACAAGCACCCTACTTAGTAACTATTTGTTTTCCTTTTTTTGTACTGAAAAATCCCAGATTACCATGCATAGTGATTTTCTTTTCTTAAAGAAATGTACACTATAAATATATCAAATAAACCTTGGCTTTATCTTGGCCTAGTGGGACGGAGTTACACTGTCAACCTAAAGGCAGGAGGTTTGAATCTGGCAACCGCTCCAGGGGAGAAAGGTGGGCATATGATTTGCATATGACTTACATATGAGTTACAGCCTCTGAAAACTCTCTAGAGGGTCAGCTATGTGTTGGTTCCATCAATAACAATACGTTTATGATGACCAAATAAACTTAAGAGTTAACTTTCAAAGGGTCATGAAAACTATTGTTTTTCATACCCAAGACAAAACTTTAACTTTAAAAAAATGAAATTAACTTTTAAATTGCAGGATTTGGCCTCAGAATCTGTGAAGAGAAATTGCTTTTTGTAGTCAGTGTGTTCAAAAGAGCAGCTATGCAGCTATTTCCTTTCAAAAGATGTTTATTGAGCCCCTACTCAGTGTTAGGGACTATGATTTCTTCCTCTCACTTTCCCTCTATTAAAAAGGACCTCAGGTTCCTAAATAATGTGATCATGGTTAAGCAAATATTCCGAAGTCAAAATCAGAAAAAGTTAGTGGAATCCTCAAAATGGTTCAGAAGCCAAAGCATCAAATGATTGACAATAATGTATTTTAACCATAGCAAGAGATGTCATTTGTCAAAACATGATTTTTCTCTTCTTCAGGGGGCTGCTTGGTGATGCGCCAACCTGATGCTGATAGGTCCTGTAATCCCCCATGTAATCAACCCCACTCATACTGTACTGAGGTATGTGCTAATTCAGTAAGATGGACAAGGTAGCCTCATTTGTCACCCATCTGCCTCTTTTGCAGTCCATTCCAAAACAAGCATGACTCAAGGCATAAAAATCCTCTTTATTAGACCTTTACCATCATCAACATAAATGACTCTAATTGCACTTGCTTTTGTTCTTAATAACTTTAGATACAGCATTAAAGTTGTGTCCTCTCTATATAAAGCCAAACTTTGCATGCCATAGATTGCCAAGAGAGTGCTTCTTTAGAGCCTTCTTTTCAAGTCAGCTCTGTCATCCTGCTTTCAAAGATCATGTGTAGCACACGTGTCCTTGTTCTTCTGCAGACAAGATCATGCAGTTGTGAAGAAGGGTACACGGAAGTCATGTCTTCTTATGGTACACTTGAGCAGTGCACACTTATCCCCGTGGTGGTGGTACCCACGGTAGAGGACAAAAAAGGAGATGTGAAAACCAGTCGGGCAGTGCATCCAACCCAGCCTTCCATTAACCCAGCAGGATGGGGAAGGACCTGGTTTCTACAGCCATTTGGGCCAGGTGAAGTGACCAGATAGCATGGGTCTTGGGGTCTTGGTTACACAGTGAGCCAAATGTCACAGGGTGGGGGGGAGAATTAAAAGCAAGTGGTTGGGTTTTTCAATGATCACTTTATTATTTTCTAATACATATACATAATTATTTTTATGTTCTCATAGATCCCTTTTATAATTATCTTTCCTGGCAGAATACAGAGTAACTTGGGCTGTTAACTCAGAAAGTCAGCATTTTGAATCCATCGTATGATCTGTGGGGAATGATAGACAGTCTCCTCCCTGCAAGATTTATGTTCTCAGAAACCTGAGGTTATCTTTGAGTCAGAATTGAATTGATGGCAGTAGGTTATGATGAAATAAATGTGCAAGTTCACATTTCATAAATAAAATTATTTTTTCTACAAAAAGGCCTTAGTATTGATAGTACTTATTTGAACTGTGAACCTAAATTTATAATATTTCACCTTGAACCAAGAAATTTGAGAATGAAAATATTAGAATAAAAGTGTATTGTCATTCAGAACTAAGAAAAAAAGACATTCAAGACCCCCCCCCCGTCCCATTTGAACGTGTAGGTGTAATTTTTTAAACTAGGTATGAGCATCTTGGTAATGTACTTCTTCAGCAGGGGACACTGGGGAGCACCAGAATTAATATAATGCCCTCTGCTGTCTGACCTCCAGATGACGGTCAGCAGTAAACATGATGCACATTCTATGAAAGAGAACCAAATGCCTTTACTAAATCTATTGAAACAATTGTGATTTAAGTTATTATACCATCTTCTTTTCACTTTTTAAAAGGCAGCACTCTTTTACTATGTTTTAAAAGTTTCAGAAATACTAAGATTATTAAATTATTTCAAAAAAGAATCATAATTGGGCATTATTTAATTGGCTTATGATTATTGGCTCTTCCCTTAAGATCTCTAAATTCTGAGAACCAGCAAAGGTTTTATAGTTTAAGAAACTGCCTCATTGGATATGCTCGCTGACAACAAGAAGAGAACATCAAATAAAAAGTGCATTTTATTCTACAGAATGACCTCAAAAAGTTTCCTTTATCAAAACATTTAAAAAATGAAATATTCTGTAGGAATCAAGGTCAGATTATTCTACCTTTTCAACAAGTTGATAATATTTTTCTGCTTCCATACCTTCCCTAGCTCTGACTGCATACACACCTTTAGCATCATATAGATGAAAACCAAATGTAAATACATAGATTTTATCAAAAGTCTCCTGCTTTACTTCAGAAAGTGTTTCTCTTTTTTCCTTAATCATCACTGTGGCCTTGATTTGTAGATCAAATTAATTTAGGTGAATCTTTTAGTAGTATTTTCTGTTTGATGTTTATTCTGAGCATAAAACTGAGAAATTCAAAGAGAATAAGATCAGAAAAATCAAGTAAGAATAGTATGTGTCATGTCTAATCCCATGAAATAAAAAAAAGGAGAGGAGCAATTATTTATACATCCTTTTATGTGTTTATCATTCTTGGTTATGCTTACAAATAATAGTGTCAAACAGTTTTAAAGCACACTCTAAGTGTAGATTAGATCAAAGATTTTCACTTTCAAACTACATAAAATGTATTCATTTCCACTTCAGGTGAAACAAACAAAAAATGTTTAAATGGCAATATTTAATGAAGAAAAGATTGTCTTTGTGAACTCTAGGTTGCAGAATTTTCTTTAAATTGCAGTATTTTTCTAATTTCTTATAATTGCTATTCTTAGTTGGCCAAAAACCCGAGAACAGAATGTTAACATAGCAATCAACATATACTGGACTTGAAATAAAATTCAGATGTGAAGAAATACAAATCAAAACAGACTCATTAGATGTCAGAATCCAAATATAAATGTCTTCCTTTCTAATTCAATTTTCCCTTTCATAATTTCTCTTTGAGGAAACAGCCGCTAACTCATAGCAGCTTTGCATTAACTGTTAACTGTGCTTAAGCACTATGCATTTGACATTGTGAAAGAACTTGATTGTATATGACTGATCACCTGTCACAGTTAAAGACTGTCTTATGTGTACCACACTAAATTAAGGACTGATATCTCTTCTTCTAGATGGGAGACTAAAGACCTGGGTTTATGGTGTAGCAGCTGGAGCATTTGTGTTGCTTATCTTTATTGTCTCCATGATTTATCTAGCTTGGTGAGTACTTAAATATTTAAAAATCTAATAGGGTATTGATGTCTTTGAGCTGTGGTGCTGGAGAAGAGTACTGAATATGCCATGGACTGCAAGGAGAACAAACAGGTTGATCCTGGAGAGGGTGAAGCCATGCTGCTCCTTGGAGGCAAGGGTTCTGAGGCTTCATCTGACATACTTTGGACATGTTGCAAGATGGGATCAGTCCTTGGAGAGGGACATCATGCTTTGGACGATGGAGGGATGGCACAGGAGGGGAAAGCCCTCTATGAGATGGATTGATTCAGTGACTGGGGTAATGGGAATAGACATGTCAGAGACAAGATGGGCAAGGGACAGAGCAAAGTTTAGGGCTTTTATACATAGCGTCCTTATGAGTCACAGGTGACTCGATGGCACATAACAACAACAACAACAACAGCAATAGGGTATATAGTCACTCTATTTCAGGACTTTCCGTTGACCAGAATTAATAATCTGATGTCTCAAATAACTATTTTATTTTATGTTGATCAGAGTTTAAATATGGTTTCATTTTAGAAGTTTGAAAACCATCAAAGAGGAGTGAGAACTGCTCCAAGTCATTTTCTCAGATATGCTCTTCTTGGTTATGAAAAAAAAAAAAGTTTTTTATATGGTTTCTGAGAAACTAATTTCTTCTCATATTGGATTACCAACAACTGTAGTATATGTGAATCCCTAATGATATTCAATTACCTTTTCAAATATAGAGTATTTATAATTATAAATTATTTATGTAAGTCTTCCGGTCAAATGTAAATTATTATACTATCATGGTCCCCCTATTGTTAATAGAAGAGAAATTCCATTTGAATTCTTTATCCTCATGTTGTTGTTGCTGTTGATTGCCATCGAGTCGAGCACAACTCATACCAACCCTATAAACAGAAGACCTGACGCCTTACTATAACTATTGTCATTTTCCAAAGTGCATAGAGTTTCCAGAGGCATGTTGTTTAGGAAGAGGATGCCACTACTGCTTCCATAGGATAATAAAATATTTCAGGAGTTTCCTGAGACTGGATTTAGGTGATGGATGTCTAAAAATTAGATGTTATTTTGGGATTTAAAAAAAATTATCTAAAATAACAAATATTAGAACTGAAGTTTGCTTATTTTTTCCTCCCAATTTTTACCCCTTTTTTTTCAGCAAAAAGCCAAAGAAACCCCAAAGAAGGCAAAACAACCGACTGAAACCTTTAACTTTAGCCTATGATGGAGATGCAGACATGTAACATACAACTTCCTTGGCAACTACTGGTTGTATTATGGCTTTGCAACAGAGATATCCAGAAGCCAAGAAAGGGTTCAGACTGTAAGGATTAAAATTAATTTTGAGTTTAAAAAAACCATCAAGAAAGGAGTGACAACCATAGTGCCACTGGAAATAAGCAAGACAGTACCAATCCCAGATAGATAGACCATCGGCCCTGAGAATTTGATTTGGTTGAATATATGCTGCATTCTGAAAGTTTGTGACATATTTTTGAAATATCTCAACTGAAAAATCACTTTTACCTCTAAAATATTGTGGTAAAATTGGGCAATTAAGAAGCCTTATGGAAGACTCTGTCTACAGTATTATCACATGGTAGTAACTTTGTAGCATGAAAAGTTTATACCAAGAACTCTACAACTATAGTCAAACATAACAACAGTGTATAATCAGTTGAATGATACATATTATGTCAAATTATATACTTGTTAATAAGTAATTTCAATGCCGAATAAGAAATAGGCTCCATACTGAGCAGGAAACCCAACTAATACATTCAGCTTCTTGGTGGTTGATGGTAATTTTACTGACCTGCATTTCAGAGGCAAAACGTGTGTCTAAGACTTTATTCTTGTCTCTCTCCTAAGTATGAATGCTGGACATGTTTGGTATCTCAGAAGAAAAGATTTCTCGAGTTCAGTATTTTTAGTGGTTATTGTTTGGGAAACTAATTGCTTGTGTTAATGCATTTCTACTTTTCCCCCCTGATTTTCAAACTGGTTGCCTGCATCTTTTTTGCTATATGGAAGGCACATTTTTGCACTATATTAGTGCAGCATGATAGGCACTTAACCAGTATTGCCATAGAAACAGCCTCTTTTCATGTGATGAAGACTTCTGTGCTAAGAGTGTCATGGAGACATTTGCAAGTTCTTGTATCCTGAAGAGAGTAAAGTTCAATTTGAATGGCGACAGGATGGAACAGGCTGTTACATCTGCTTTATGTATTCTTCCTCATCGCTACAGCTATTGTGATATCAACAACGTGGCGGTATTTAAGTGTTACAGTTCCTACCACATGAACCCTTCAGAAAGTGGATCCCAGTTAGTTTTTAATTGTACTTTGAAGGCTGTTTATGACTAGATTTTTATATTTGTTATCTTTGTTAAAAAAAAAGAAAAGAAAAGAAAAAAAAGGACTTGGTTGTCTTTTTAATTTTGAACAAATGGAGATAATAATGTGTCACTGGCTTTTATAATTTAAAAAAAAAAACCCAAACCCTTAAAATTACATGTTGTTTAGTCTTTCTTCCTTTATTTATTTTCCAATCTCAGATTGAATATCTGCAGTATGTCAAAACCCATAATACGTTTTTTCTTTCTCTCTAAGGAACTTTTCTTTAAGTATCTGATTACTAAAATAAAAAAAAAAAACCAGTATTTTGTCCAAGGCTTATTTTAATATTTGCATCAGAGGTGCAAACATTTTATGTAAAAGCCAGATAACAAATATTTTTAGCCATATTCCCAACTCTGGCATGCACAATAAATATGTTAATGAATAAGTGGGGTTGTGTCTCCATGAAACTCTTTTTACAAAATAGCAAGCCAGCCAGATTTGGGAATCTCCTTATATTATTAGTGTCAATGTACTACTGTGTTCTTTTGAGTTTTTTATTCATACTCACTGATTATGATCAAAGTTAATTTCGAAAGTAAACCAGTCATGATATTTGTCACTGTTTTGTAAATAGCTATATTTTTCAAAGATGTAGCCCTAGGAATGGCACAATGGAATGGTGTCCAAGTTGGCCAACTTTTCACATAAAAATTCAAAAGGTGCCACCAAAAAAGCAATACCTTTTCCCAGGAAACCTTCACGAAAACAACTTGTGAAAAGGCGGCAAGGATGTTAGATTTTCATGTCTTAAAAAAAAAAGAAAGCATAACAAACTATTAAACTATTTTCTCTTAAATGTAGCCATATTGCTATTAAAAAGTGTGGATTATGTCTTTACTTCCATTCTGGAGTTTGAACTCCCCCTACTGTTCATTAGTATATTTGCAAAAGGCAGAAAGGACAATGTCATTATCCCAAGGAAGGTTTCTACATACTGCAATAAGAACTAAATGTGGTAAGCACTAAATCTTTATTCAACTTTCAACATTTAAACAATGTAAATAATTTCAAAATGAATGGGTATTCTGGAAAAAGAGAACTTTAAGGATTTAATCAGAAGGAAATGAACATAAAGTTGTTGTCACTTGTTTTATTGAAGAGGAAAGGGAAAAATGATATTGTATCTGTAAACTATGACTGTTAATATATGCACTCAGGGGTCTTCCACATAGTCTTCAAGTTTATTTCTTTGCATAAAATGAGCTACATTTTTCCAAAATGGTTGAGAGAGAAAAAAATCTATTACAGTTATTTGAAAAGTCAGTGGTATGATATGTTTGTAACACCTAAAAATTATTAAATTGCTGATAGGATAAAAGAAATTCTATTATTACTAGAAGAAGCTCTGATGGCACAATACATAGGGAGATGTGCTGCTAATCCAACAGTCACACCTGTCTAGTGGTTCAAATCCACCAGAGGCGCTGGAGGAGAGCAATGAGCAATCATTCACCACCCAGGCAACTGGCAACGATGGAAATCCACTAGAGGATCAGCTGTATGTTTTGGCTCTGACTCAACAGTTTGTGATATTGTAAAATGTCACTAGTCCAGAAGGGACATTACTGACGGATGCCCAATTATGAAATGTTGAGAATACATAAGGTATCTCATTTGTAAATTGATGATAGGGAGCATGCTGAAAATCTACTTCTGAACTAAGGAAATCCTGGATGAACTTTTGATAGAAAGGGGGCATCTACTGGGTTAGTTTGGACAAATGGGAGATTACCGTATTCATGTTTATAACATGAAGATGGCCTTACTTTGTTCTTGGCACAAGTTAATATTGAGTTAATTACTGAAACTATCCAGACCTTATTCTTTCCATTCATTCTAAGAATTCAGGAGGAAAATGTAGTTATGTGAACTGACTTATGTACACATCTTAAGATAATTATCTGTGGCTCCAAAGATACTTAGAACCTAATAGTTTTCTAAGAATGAAAGACAGTCTGGTTTTAACAAAAAGAAATAATACGAATATTGACAATATGCTATTTTATTGGGCTCTTTCCATATGAAAGCTACAGAAGTAGAGTAACTGAACTCACTTGGAACAAGTTGATTTACTCATTCATTTAATACCTATCCTAATATATTCTCTATAATCCTAATTTTAAAACCTATTTTTAAGATGCCACCTTACAGCTTAAGCTAATTTCAAAAGGAGTTCACAAAAGCCTGTGTTTAAGTTCTTGTGACAAAGCACAATTTACTTCTAATGAGGTAAATATTTATTGAATTGCTGTAAGACACTCTGCTAGATCAGGTAAAAAGTTAATGGCTTTCCTATCAATAATCAATACTCAATGTAGGGGTGGGAGAAGGTACTTGACAAGCAAGTGCAAGCAGCACCTCAAAACTTTGCCTGTTACTCTAGATTTGCTTATAATTGTGGTTAGTATCATTCATTCTGCATCTCATGTACGTGTCTCATGCCGGCACTGCTGGGTGCTTGATTTTTTTTCCTATAATCCCCCTGCAAGTACATAGCAATAATTATAAAAAAAAATCTGTTAAATCCCATATGTTTGGAAATAAAGTCTCTTACTAAAAAAAATTATTGCAGGAAACATGTATTATTTGTCCCAAATTTATATTTCCTCATTTCCTATTCTCTGATGTTATCTTCAGCAGTTAGAATCCGTCAACTGCTCCATGGAAGAGAAACAGTTCTGTCCCCTCCCATTACAAGTGTCAGGAAACCTGTGAGAGGTTCAAGAGCAGTGAGTTTGAGATTTTTAGTATTGTTAGTAATCTCCTATATCCTTGGACCTTTGTGGTGATTATTCTCTACTCTGTACTCATGAAAAAATCAGAGAAGCTAATTCCATTTCCCTCAGAACCTACCCAAAATTTTAATATTAAAGAAAGAAAACTTGGATTCCTTCACGTTGGAGTCAGACTACACTGTGGAGAAGGAGATGTGGAAGACACGTTTAAAAAGAGAGCTCTGATGGACCCGTGGGTAAGGGCTTGTGCTGCCAGTGCAAAAGCACGCAGTTCATCAGCTGCTCCACTGGAGAGAAAGGGCAGTCCCCTCACGTGCGCTGCTCTGCCTCTGAAAGCCTGCTGGAGGGCCAGCTGTGAGTTCTGACTCCACACCAATGAGTTGAGCTGTTTATATGTTTAGAATAAAAAGTGGCCTATTTGATATAAGTGCCAATTCCTAGACTCATTTCAATACTACCAAGTAACTTTCTTCTTTTACTTGCCTCTTACATCATTGTTCACTCTCCGACCTACAAGACAGTAAGAAAAGCTTACAGCTTTCAGTACTGTTTGGGGAAGGGTTCATGCTAGGCAAACACTTTCTAAATAGATGTATAAAAATTGTGGATCACAAATAACCCATGATCTCACTATTTGTAAATTCTAAACAAACAGCAAGGTTAACTTACATTATGAAATGCATATAGATTTCATGTTTCGTTTTTCCTTCAAGATTGAGGGTATTGAAAGGAGAGCAGCCCATGATAAAACTTTGTGGAATCTTTCTTGTTCAAGAGCAATATTTCCTGGACCTAGTTTAGGTGTGAAAACTAAAACCTCTTCTTTTTCTGATAATACCTAGCGAACACGGGCCCTATTTCAAAATTATCCGATATGGCTACAAGGAGAATTCCATGTACCATAATCAGAAGTATTGTTGTAGCAAACAGTTACGCATTATAAAAAGTTGTTTTCAACTGTGATTTGTTCATTTTAGCTGACATGAACACTGAAAAATGGTTATAACTATATTATAAAATGAACAAAGCAAATGTTAAATTAATGAATTAATTTGTGGCTTTATGATTTCATGCTTCCTCCTATCCAGATATCAAAGCTGGCAG